CTGACTCCTGGATAGTCTAACTTATATCCAGCCATTAAGACCAATCCTCTTGCCCACCAGGTTAATTATGTACCTGCTTATTTATTTATTCTGGAACTGTTGAAAGTTATTGTGATCATTCTGCCTTGCTTAACTGTCGATTCCAAATGCATACAAGTTACTATTGTCAAAAGGAAAATATTCTTATTCTCAATTACCTAGGTTTAACGCTTTCCAACAAACAAAGTCTTGACATGAAATATTCTACCGTAGTTGTAAGTTAAACGTCTAACCCCTACCTATGTAGCCTAAGTGTAATCGGGTTAAGTTTAGATTAATAGGTCTATTAAGTTAAGACTATAAGCCTACTGACGTACCGTACTTGTATTTTGCCATGTGACTAGTGCTATCACTGGCAGCCTTAGGTCTATTAACTTAAGGTGCTTCATCTCACGAGTTGCATTTTTGAAGCACATTCTCTTGCCCTTATCAGCCTACATAAGTTAATTAGGCCTAGACCGAAATAGGTAAGTTAGGCCTAAGTTAAGCCTAGTTAGTAGGCCTAAGTAGCCTATATTAGGGATTCTATGGTAGGTAGCTATCTAGGCCTAATTGGTTTTAAGAACCCACATAAACTTAGTCAATCACACAGCTTAAGTTAGATCTTATAACTTAGGCTCAAGATTCAAGATTTATTTCGGCCATTAAGTTAAGCTGTTTACAATAGGCTTTGTCTAACATAACATATTGAACTAAAAATTAATATTTCAGTCTTTTCCTGAAAAAATAAAAACTTAGCAAGAGTGTTGTGTAAACAACCGAGCGCGCCGATTATAGGAACTAAAACAGACTCTCTTAAGATACGAGCTGTTGAATAGAAGAGCTGGATATTTGTTTCCAGACTCTGCACGGATGTGAGTAGGGATGATGTTGTGAGTTATGCTTAGGACGCTAGCATAGATGTTGAATGCGTTGAATTAAAAACCAAACACAACTCCTACAAATCGTTTAAATTTGGTGTAAAACCCTCTGAAACAACACTAATTTTGAGTGACACTTTCTGGCCAGTCGGAACATTGGTTAGGGAATTTGTAGAGACCCCCAAAAGAAGTGCCATAGTCAAATCTCAGACTTTTTTACCGAGAACCCATCAAAACTCAGCTCGACCCTGACCCTAGATTCATCTACCGACCATCTGCACCTGTGCTCCATTAATGTGCAATGCTTGAGAAATAAACTGAATGAACTTGAACTGTTATGTGACCTAAACAAAATAGAAGTATTGTGTGTGGCTGAACACTGGCTAGTTTTGGACGAGGTACAATACTATAACAACATCTTTAACCTTGATCTCGCCACATATTTCTGTAGAAAAGCACCGGTTTACCTTGCTCATACGGTTTCAATCACTGGTGGGGTGGCTATATACGTCAAATCCGATATGAGGTATACCTGTTTGGACCTAAGTGACTTCTGTGAAGAGTATGAAGGTGAGTTTGCTGCGGTTTTAATGCATGAGTTTGACCTTGTAGTTGTAGCCATGTATCGGTCTCCTAATGGATCTGTTGAACGTTTTCTTTTGTTACTCAAACTCTGTTTGACATATTTGATTTCTCTGAATCTGTCAGTTGTGGTAGGTACAGATCATAACATTGATTTACTGAAGTCAAATGGTGATGCCGCTGACTTCCTGAACACATTGCGTAGTTTTGGTTTCTATAGTAGTGTTATTGAACCAACCAGAATGAATGCCTCTTTAGACTCTTTCATCACTAACTTAGATTCGTGGAACTATGAAGTAACTGTCAGTAACGACCAAATTGCAGATCACAAGCACATTTTCTTAAAGTTAAAGCTCTGTAATGGACAAAAAGACTGTGAAAGCCCTAAGCTGATATCTGTAAAGTTTAGATTGTTCAACGATGTTCGCTTGGGTTTATTTTGTGATGACATTGCTAACCATATGGATCTGTGGTTCAATGAAGTTTGTGCGCTCCCACCAAACACTGCATTTTCAAATTTCTTTTCTAAATTTAAGGACAAATTTGATTTTTACTTCCCATTAAAGCAAAAAACAGTTAAGTCAACTGATAGAGTATCTGACGGTGCCAAAGGAAAGATCAAGAATTGGTATTCTGAGGAGCTTGCTGGTTTAAAAAGGTACATTTTGCTAGTGCTTGACATGTCTAAGGATAGGCCTGATCTTATCCCATATCTTCGGAATTGAGGAGAGAGTATCGACTCCAACTCCGCGAGGCAAAGCAGCGTGCAGCGGCTGACATGATCTCCACTGCTGCAAACCCATGCAAGGCAGCTTGGGACCTGATCAACCAGAGCAGGCCCAGTACCAGAGTTGCCGCTGACCTTGACTTCGCCACGGCGGATGACTTTAACAGCTACTTCTTGGACTCAGTGGATAGTATTGTTGATGGTATTCCTGTAAATAATACTGATTATCTTGATAACATACCTGTTGTAGATGTAAATTATGAATGGAGTATGGTCAATGCTGTTGATATTGACAAAATCGTAAACCGTTTCAAATCCTCAAAAAGTAAGGATATCTTTGACATTTCGACTGAGTTTTTGAAAAAAATTGTAAATGTGATTGCACCTTTGTTGGCTCATTTGATTAACTGTTGTTTGTTGCAAGGTGTTAACCATGATGTGCTAAAAACATCCAGAACTGTTCCCGTATATAAAAAGGGCCCCAAAAAAGATCTTTCTAGTTATAGACCAGTGTCTTTGATACCTGTTTTGGGTAAAGTGTTTGAGGCTGTGATGTTGCAGCAGCTGAGTAACCACTTTGAGGAGCACTATCTCCTTGTTCCTGCCCAGCATGGCTTTCGGAGGGGTTTGTCGACTGTTTCGGCAGTTGACTCCCTTGTGAGGGCCATACTGGAGGCATTTGAAAGCAAATCTTCTGTTTCTGTTTTGCTGTGTGATTTGTCTCGAGCATTTGATTGTATACCACATGATATTTTACTTTAAAAAATACAAAAATATGGGTTTGGCGAGAGTGCCCTCAAGGTGGTCAAATCATATCTTGCAGATAGATTTCAAATTGTAAGTTGGTCAGGTGTTCATTCAGGCGCCCTGCCAGTCAAACACGGGGTGCCCCAGGGCTCAGTACTGGGGCCTTTTTTGTTCATTATAGCAATACTCAATCGTGGCGTCGTCCTGTAATCCAGCTACTAGGAGGTCACGAATTGTGGATATTTATAGGCATGCACTGTGGATGCGATACTCCCTGGTGTGGATTAACGTCCGCACGAGTGAGTAATACGACTATCCGCAGTACTATCCTGATAATTAGACCAATTCGTATATACCATGGCAAAAACGTGGTTCGGATTCCACTATAAACTGTAGGTCCCTTAGTTGCCATTAGCTGTATGGGCTATTAATTAACAGCTGTGTCTAAGGATTATGTCGGCCTTAGTCACTAACAGGACTACAAGATCGCGCCACTCATCCCACACTCATCTCCATTCATACTTGGCTTAAAATACCTACATTTGTATGGTCGCCATTTCAAAGAAAAGTATAAAGTATAAAGTATAATGAATGACCTCTGTTTTTCTGTTTCAAACGATGTACTGCTCTATGCTGATGACACAACCTTGTTTGCAAAGCACATTGATCCTGTAATTGCCAGTAACTCCGCAAAAAGATTGTTTAACATAGCTTCTGAATGGTTTTCAGGGAACAAACTGGCTCTTAATGACAAGAAAACCCAAGAAATAATGTTTAGCTTAAGTAAAACTAATTCTGTTTGTGACTCTGTCAAACTCTTGGGCTTTACTTTGGACTCTGAGCTTGTGTGGGATGAACATGTCAACGACCTATGTACTAAACTTAACCGAGTAATTTGTTTTTTGAGGAAATTAACATCTGAATTGCCTTCTGACTTTGTGAGACTAGCATAACTTATTTCTCTTTTTTTCAGTCACACGTTGTGTATGGAACCAGGCTTTGGGGTCACTCCCCACAGGTTCAGAAGGTCCTTGTGCTACAAAAATGATGTGTAATTTGCCTTTTAGAGCACATTGTAGAACATTTTTTGTTGATACGCAGATCATGAGTGTCATCAATGTATATATTTACCAGTGCTTAGAAGCTATCAAATCGATGGAAAATGATCTTATTTTCAATAGAGACATCCATCCGTATAGCACTAGAACTTGTAATGATGTACATACTCCTAGCAATAGGCTAAGTAAAAGTCAAAAGTGTTTCCCTGTTTCAGGTTTCAAATTTTTCAATGCTCTGCCTGTTACCATTAGAAACTTGCCAAAATTGAAGTTTATGAAAGTGTTAAAGAATTGGCTAATAACAAATCCTTTCTATGTGACGATTATTTTGAGGCTTTAAAAGGTTGAAATATCATGTAGTGCATGGACCCTGGATGATAAAAAAGGTATGCCTAATTTTTATTTACCTTTGCATGGTTTGCTGTTTGGATTTGCAGTTTTGTTTGGTTTGTTTTCCTTTTTATATTTAGTTTTATGGAATTTTATTGTACTTTGACGTAGCCTATTGTACAAACTTAAAGGCCTAATAAAATCTTTGAATCTTTGTGTAGGCTATAGGCTAGGTCTACTTATAGGCTAAGTTAAGAGTGATAATGTTCCAGACAATAAATTATTTAAAAATAATATCCTGCAAGCCTTACTGAGTTGATCAACAACCATCAACATTTTACCTAGGTAGCCTATATCTATTGAACCAAATTGGCCAAACTTTGGGTCTGATGTTGATCGAGTTCAACCAAAAAAATTGACTAACTTAAACTTAATAGGCCCACAGAGCATTGCTCTGTGAATAGACCTAATCCAATAACTCAACACCAGTCTTCTCAAATTGCTTATTACCCACCCTATGCTTTGTTCTTAGTAAGGTCTATACAAGTTAGGCCTGGTATGTCTAAGTAGCCATAAGTTAGGTGCTGGGTTTAGGCGTTTAGGGTTTATCAATGACCCTAAATTAATTAAGATATACTGTATTGCATTAAAGCTTACCTTTAGCGCTGTTGTAAAGCTTCAACCTTGTCCGTTCATTGTAAGGTTGTTCACAAATGTGTCTAAAAATGTTATTTTTATATTTACTTGATACTTTCATTATGAAAGGAAAGTGTTCCAAAAACTAACAGTAACAGCTTAACTTTTGTTGGTATCCAACTCAATCTATTATCTATTCAAAACTAACTGAAAAACTGAGTAGGCCCTACTGTACTGACAGTAAATCGTAATTCGTAAGTTGTGACTAGTGACTTGTCACTGTCAAACTGCACTCGCTCGCACTGCAAACTATACTTACTTAAATACTTGTGCAAAGCAAATAAAGTGCAAAGCAAACAAGAATAACAACAACAAGATGAATGTAGCATGTAGCATGTAGCCTTAGCCTCAGCCTGTGAGCCGTGACTCGTGAGCCTGTACGGTAAGGGATGTTGCGATACTATCGATACCAGCACGATCGTGAAGACAGACGATCGTGAAGACAGCTATCGCCAGCTGTCGACCCCACTGAGCTAAAATTATAACTGGAGGTAGCACTGCCATGGCAGAAGTCTGTCAAAAGCGTGTCGCTGATTTTGTTAGGTTGGTATAGCAGTAAGTTTTCTTATCATAGCAATGACATGGCTTCTTATAACTAGGTTGGTATAGCAGTGAGTATTTTTGTCATACTTGAATACTTTTAATACTTTAATAATTTTCTTTGAAATGGCGACCATACAAAGTAGGTATTTTAAGCCAAGTATAATAATAGTTATAGCAATAATATGGCTTCTTATGGACACCCACCTCACGCAAACATGGCGGCTGGCGACACGCATCTTTGACATTCAGTGCTACCTCCAGTTAGAATTATAGCTCAGTGGTCGACCCTACATTTTTCCCCCTCCCACAACGATTTCCCCTCTTCGCCCTCTCGACCAATCAGATAACGCCTAGGTTTGAGCAGTAGAGTCGATGCACAAAAAAAAGACCTCGCATTTGAATTTACCTTCTATGGATAATTAATAGTTTTCCGAACTAAAACTAATAACTGTGTATATGTAATATAGCACATATAAGCACCAAAAAGTATAAATAGATCGAAACATATAAATTTTATCATATATATGTTCTCAGCATACAAGGAGTGTTTGGACGTACTTGAAACTATGTTGAAACAATATTCGACCAAATATTATTGTTTTAAATACATATTAAAGAATTATTAAAAACCATATATAATATATTTAAGTTAATTTCAGCCTGAAGTCCAGCTAACGAATTAGCACTCAGCGTACTAAGAATGTTCGGACGAACATATACCTATGTTGAGACGATATTCCCCAAAATTTTATCATTTTAAATTAAAGTATACACTGGAATGTACAACATATTAAAAAATCATTCAATTCTAAACATATTTATTTAGGTTAATTTTAGCCTAAAGTCTAGCTAACGAATTTGTTCTCAGCGTCCTAATAATGTTCGGACAAATATTTACCTATGTTGTGACGATATTCCCCAAAATTTTATCATTTTAAATTAAAGTATACACTTAAATGTACAACATATTAAAAAATCATTTAATTCTAAACATATATATATTTAGGTTAATTTTAGCCTAAAGTCTAGCTAACGAATTTGTTCTCAGCGTACTAAGAATGTTCGGACGAACACTTACCTATGTTGTGACGGTATTCCCCAAAATTTTATCATTTTAAATTAAAGTATACACTTAAATGTACAACATATTAAAAATTCATTCAATTCTAAACATATATATATTTAGGTTAATTTTAGCCTAAAGTCTAGCTAACGAATTTGTTCTCAGCGTACTAAGAGTTTTCGGACGAACACTTACCTATGTTGTGACGGTATTTCCCAAAATTTTATCATTTTAAATTAAAGTATACACTTAAATGTACAACATATTAAAAAATCATTCAATTCTAAACATATATATTTAGGTTAATTTTAGCCTAAAGTCTAGCTAACGAACTTGTTCTCAGCGTACTAATAATGTTCGGACGAACATTTACCTATGTTGTGACGATATTCCCCAAACTTTTATCATTTTAAATTAAAGTATACACTTGGATGTACAACATATTAAAAAATCATTAAAATCTAGACATATATATTTAGGTTAATTTTAGCCTAAAGTCTAGCTAACGAACTTGTTCTCAGCGTACTAATAATGTTCGGACGAACATTTACCTATGTTGTGACGGTATTCCCCAAAATTTTATCATTTTAAATTAAAGTATACACTTGGATGTACAACATATTAAAAAATCATTAAAATCTAGACATATATATTTAGGTTAATTTTAGCTTAAAGTCCAGCTAACGAATTAGCGCTCAGCGTACTAAGAATGTTCGGACAAACATTTACCTATGTTGTGACGATATTCCCCAAAATTTTATCATTTTAAATTAAAGTATACACTTGAATGTACAACATATTAAAAAAATCATTAAAATCTAAACATATATATTTAGGTTAATTTTAGCCTAAAGTCTAGCTAACGAACTTGTTCTCAGTGTCCTAATAATGTTCGGACAAAAATTTACCTATGTTGTGACGATATTCCCCAAACTTTTATCATTTTAAATTAAAATATACACTTAAATGTTCAACATATTAAAAAATTATTAAAATCTAAACATATATATTTAGGTTAATTTTAGCTCAAAGTCCAGCTAACGAATTAGCGCTCAGCGTACTAAGAATGTTCGGACGAACATTTACCTATGTTGAGACGATATTCCCCAAAATTTTATCATTTTAAATTAAAGTATACACTTAAATGTACAACATATTAAAAAATCATTCAATTCTAAACATATATATTTAGGTTAATTTTAGCTTAAAGTCCAGCTATTGAATTAGCGCTCAGCGTACTAAGAATGTTCGGACAAACATTTACCTATGTTGTGACGATATTCCCCAAAATTTTATCATTTTAAATTAAAGTATACACTTGAATGTACAACATATTAAAAAATCATTAAAATCTAAACATATATATTTAGGTTAATTTTAGCCTAAAGTCTAGCTAACGAACTTGTTCTCAGTGTCCTAATAATGTTCGGACAAAAATTTACCTATGTTGTGACGATATTCCCCAAACTTTTATCATTTTAAATTAAAATATACACTTAAATGTTCAACATATTAAAAAATTATTAAAATCTAAACATATATATTTAGGTTAATTTTAGCTTAAAGTCCAGCTATTGAATTAGCGCTCAGCGTACTAAGAATGTTCGGACAAACATTTACCTATGTTGTGACGATATTCCCCAAAATTTTATCATTTTAAATTAAAGTATACACTTGGATGTACAACATATTAAAAAATCATTCAATTCTAAACATATATATTTAGGTTAATTTTAGCCTAAAGTCTAGCTAACGAATTTGTTCTCAGCGTACTAAGAGTTTTCGGACGAACACTTACCTATGTTGTGACGGTATTCCCCAAAATTTTATCATTTTAAATTAAAGTATACACTAAAATGTACAACATATTAAAAAATCATTCAATTCTAAACATATATATTTAGGTTAATTTTAGCCTAAAGTCTAGCTAACGAACTTGTTCTCAGCGTACTAATAATGTTCGGACAAATATTTACCTATGTTGTGACGATATTCCCCATATACTTTAATTTAAAATGATAAAATTTTGGGGAATATCGTCACAACATAGGTAAATGTTTGTCCGAACATTCTTAGTACGCTGAGCGCTAATTCAATAGCTGGACTTTAAGCTAAAATTAACCTAAATATATATGTTTAGATTTTAATAATTTTTTAATATGTTGAACATTTAAGTGTATATTTTAATTTAAAATGATAAAAGTTTGGGGAATATCGTCACAACATAGGTAAATTTTTGTCCGAACATTATTAGGACACTGAGAACAAGTTCGTTAGCTAGACTTTAGGCTAAAATTAACCTAAATATATATGTTTAGATTTTAATGATTTTTTAATATGTTGTACATTCAAGTGTATACTTTAATTTAAAATGATAAAATTTTGGGGAATATCGTCACAACATAGGTAAATGTTTGTCCGAACATTCTTAGTACGCTGAGCGCTAATTCGTTAGCTGGACTTTAAGCTAAAATTACCTAAATATATATGTCTAGATTTTAATGATTTTTTAATATGTTGTACATCCAAGTGTATACTTTAATTTAAAATGATAAAATTTTGGGGAATACCGTCACAACATAGGTAAATGTTCGTCCGAACATTATTAGTACGCTGAGAACAAGTTCGTTAGCTAGACTTTAGGCTAAAATTAACCTAAATATATATGTCTAGATTTTAATGATTTTTTAATATGTTGTACATCCAAGTGTATACTTTAATTTAAAATGATAAAATTTTGGGGAATACCGTCACAACATAGGTAAATGTTCGTCCGAACATTATTAGGACGCTGAGAACAAATTCGTTAGCTAGACTTTAGGCTAAAATTAACCTAAATATATATGTTTAGAATTGAATGATTTTTTAATATGTTGTACATCCAAGTGTATACTTTAATTTAAAATGATAAAATTTTGGGGAATATCATCAAAACATAGGTAAATGTTCGTCCGAACATTCTTAGTACGCTGAGAACAAATTCGTTAGCTAGACTTTAGGCTAAAATTAACCTAAATATTTATGTTTAGAATTGAATGATTTTTTAATATGTTGTACATCCAAGTGTATATTTTAATTTAAAATGATAAAAATTTGGGGAATACCGTCACAACATAGGTAAATGTTCGTCCGAACATTCTTAGTACGCTGAGCGCTAATTCGTTAGCTGGATTTTAAGCTAAAATTAACCTAAATATATATGTTTAGAATTGAATGATTTTTTAATATGTGCTACATTTAAGTGTATACTTTAATTTAAAATGATAAAATTTTGGGGAATACCGTCACAACATAGGTAAATGTTTGTCCGAACATTATTAGGACGCTGAGAACAAATTCGTTAGCTAGACTTTAGGCTAAAATTAACCTAAATATATATGTTTAGAATTGAATGATTTTTTAATATGTTGTACATCCAAGTGTATACTTTAATTTAAAATGATAAAATTTTGGGGAATACCGTCACAACATAGGTAAATGTTCGTCCGAACATTATTAGGACGCTGAGAACAAATTCGTTAGCTAGACTTTAGGCTAAAATTAACCTAAATATATATGTTTAGAATTAAATGATTTTTTAATATGTTGTACATCCAAGTGTATACTTTAATTTAAAATGATAAAATGTTGGGGAATATCGTCACAACATAGGTAAATGTTTGTCCGAACATTATTAGGACGCTGAGAACAAATTCGTTAGCTAGATTTTAGGCTAAAATTAACCTAAATATATATGTTTAGAATTGAATGATTTTTTAA